AGGGACTATTTTTCTTTTATTTTATTACTTTACAAATGATGTTTTTGTGTATATCCCCAAATTATATTTTATTTTCATTGATATTACAGTCTAAATACGAGTACAAAGCAATTTGTATCACAAATGCATCTGTTGCAGCGATATTTAACATTATAAACATTAAATATCTAGCGCTATAATTTGCAATATATGTAATTTATAGCGCCTTTCTAATTTACTTTTCAATTTTTATTACGCAATTTCCAGTGTTATCAATATTTTACAAAATAAAAGTGTTTTTTCGATAAAAACTCAAAGCATTTCTATATTAAAGGAGCGAGAGAGAAAACACTAAAGCGTGCGAGAGAGACAGCTACTGTTCGCCGATGAGATCATCATTGCCCCTCTTGCCGCTCACCCCGCTCAGCATGTGCCCCTCTTGCCGCGCGTCCCTCTTTGCGCGTGAGGTAACCTTCTCTCTATAGATCTTGGGAACAGGAGGCATCGTCTCGGGAATCGGCCCGAAATGTGCAACTAATTCCGAGCGCTGTTATAGTGAATGGTTCACAGAGAAAAACAAATTGGCTTTCTATTTTCCTTGTGCGACGCATTCCTTAAATCTAGTTGGAAACTGCGAAGCTGATTGTTGCACAGAAGCTACTAGATTTTTTTTGTTTATGCAAAATATATATGTATTTTCTTCTGGATCACCAGCTAGATGGGAGATTATAAAAAAACACTTATTGACATCGGATTCTAATTTAGTTCTTTCCAAAAAGATTAAGTGATACTCGTTGATCAGCCAGAGCGGATGCTACAAAAGCTTTTAGCGTTTTCGATTATACAGGATTTGAACGACCCAGGGTTGATCAATCACTATTTTACTATAAATGCAAGTCTTTCATTGGTGGAGAGGTTGCAATGACGTCATTAACCAACCCTGGGTCGTTCAAATCCTGTATAATCGAAAACGCTATTTGTCTCTAGGATATAGTTGGTTTCGAAATGCTTTAGAAGAGCTTATAATTGATAATAGTCAAAAGCAAACAAATAGAATGAAAGCAATTTTTGGTCAACTCATTGAACAAGCTGGAAATTACGATTATTTATGAAATTTGGAATAAAATTTTACAAAAATTCAATGCTACAAATAAAAGCTTGCAAAATGTTAATATTGATTTGGAAACTGTGGTAAAATTATATAACTCTTTAAAGAATTATCTCTTGAATCTTAGAACAACGGAATACTTTCTGGATTTCGAAAAAAGAGACAGAGAAAAATCTGATTGTAAGGAGTACGATTCAAAAAGCAATCGGAAAAGGAAGCGCCACTTTGACGAAGGTGCAGAAGCTGCGACTGTTTTCGATGCCAGAAATTCAATGAAAATCAAAGTTTATTTTCCAATTATAGACAATCTTATTAATGCCCTCGAAAAAAGAGCGGCAAGCTATAAGCATCATTCGGAAACATTTGGATTTCTAAATAAACTACAACTCTATTCTGAATTTGGAAATGACCAACTGAGAGTTTGCGCACGAAATCTAGTGAAAATATATAATTGCGATTTGGAGGACGAGTTCATTGAAGAAATCATTCAATTTAGATATTTTATTCAAAATGAAGAATTTCCTTCCAATATTCTACTTCCAATATCATATTTGAAGTTAATATGTGAAAATAAAATTCAAGCCACTTTC